ACGTTTTTCCTTCTTTCCTGCCTAGTCCCTGCTTTGGGATGCAGAGGATTGAGGGGTGAGGATGAGCTCCCCGGCCCCCTTCTCTTCTCCACCCCCTCTCTGCGTGCTCTACCTGCATCCAGACCTGCTCTAAACCCCATTAATCCAGCGAGCAAACCGTCCTTTCCCCGCGCCGCGTGGTACTTCATTATATCACTCAAGATTAATCTGCTGCTCCTAATTGCCGAGTGCCCGAGAGCTCCTGGCAGGAAGAAAAATCAGTGTCGGGCGAAAAAGCCGGTGTGGGTTGTTTCTTTTTTTTCTTTCTTTTTTTTTTTTCTTTCTTTTTTTTTTCTTCTCCGTGATATTTAGGTCGGCTTAGTGATGTGGGAAGCGTGAGGATGGGAATTCATGTGGTCTAGGGGAGCACAGGGTGGGTTTTATAGCATTTCTTGGGGTGTTTTCCCTGGCACTAAGGTGCAAGAGTGGGCATGGCCCCAGAGGAATAAGAAAGATTGTTCTTTTGATTATTTTTTTACTTGGTTTTGCTTTTAATGGGGGATCTCTGCTCAGTTCTTTCTCCTCTGCCTGTTCAGCTAATGCAGGGGAAAAAAAAAAAGTCTCTGCCAAGTGCTGTGATTTTAGGAAGCTGAGATCAAAGTGCTCTGCAGACTCAGCAACCCTCTTCAGCCAGGAAACAAAAGGGCAAGGGTTTTTCTGTAGGAAAAGTATATTTTGTAATTTTCCACGTAACATATTTCATTTTAGAAGGGAAGGCTTGGGTCCAGTTTGGGCTCGCTTGAGGCATTTAACCATCAAAAAGCCCAGCGAGGGGAGGTTGGGGGATGATTCAGGGTTGCACTCCTACATCTCAAGGTGTCAAACTGAATTTTCCCCCTTATTTTGCAGGAAAAAAACCAACAAACAACCAACAGATACCCAGTTAGGCCAAATCCATGGCTTTGCACCAGGTGTTTGGGCTTGGCCAGGGAAGAGCCAGGCTGGCTTGGGCAATCAGTGTCTTGTTTTCAGAGCTTTTTTGAGCTTTTTACCCTCCCATCACTGCAGAGCAACGAAGGCACGAGGAAATTGCTCTATTTGCATCCCCAGCCTGGAGCTTGAGCCAGCACTGAGAGGCTCAGCAATTTTATTTCACACACACACACACACTTTTAGTGATATTTGTGTGGTTTTCAGTGCCTGGAGTGTCCTGCTGTGGTTACCCCACGTACCCCTGCCCATCTCCTCTGGGTTTTTAG